AAAAAACGTAAAAGACACATATTCGTGATCAACGTCAAATTCTCTATCGAACAGGCTAAAAAAAAACGGCAAATTTTTTTCTTCACTACATTTTTGCCTTATGTGCATCTTACATTTTTGTTAATTGGACGTCAAGACATAAGGTCTTTTTTGATCGTAGAATCGGGTTTTCATAAATCTCGTCTCAAAACAACATCTGTACTACCAACATCGATTCAATTTCAAATACCGCCAGCATATTCAAATACCAACGACAATCGACGATTCTTATTAGTGGATAAAACAAGAAGCAATGAACGTATATTGATATTTGCAACGGACGAACAATTACAATTATTATTTAATTCGACGCAGATATTCATGGATGGTACGTTTGATTCGTGTCCACCATTTTTTGATCAGTTGTATGTTATTCATGGTATAGAATTTGGTAGACAATTCTCATGTGTATTTGCATTATTACCACGTCGCAAAAGGAATACCTATGTAAAGTTACTTCGATATATTAAAGATAATGCAATTCGTTTGAATACAGTATTTAATCCAACCAGAATAATGTCTGATTTTGAAAGTGGTTTAAAAGCAGCAATAGTTGTTGAGGTTAATGTTTTTGCCATCTATTGACCAATTTAATATAAAGAGACAATGTTTCTTGTTTATATTTTATAAAGTATTTTCTTTTTTAGTTTCCAAATGCATAACATAATGGTTATTTATTCCATTTTAAGCAAGCCGTTTATCGTCGTATTCAAAATTTGGGTCTATCAACATCATATAATTCAAATGATACAATTCGTTCATATTGTCGTCGAATAACGGCATTACCGTTTTTACCAATTAATGTTGTTGTTAATACATTTAATGAATTACAAGATGAAACACCATTAGCTATACGGAAGAACTTACAACCATTATATGATTATTTTAATAATTATTGGTTAAATACAATCGATTTAGAGAAATGGAATGTGTATGGACTTGAACATCGAACAAATAATATATGTGAAGGCTGGCATAATCGATTTAGTCAACGTGTACAAAAACATCATCCTCATATTTGGCATTTTACAGATGTGTTAAAAAAAGAATTTAAATTTGGACATGATAGAATACAATTATTAGCTGGTGCACCAATGAAAAATCCTCGACAGAAGACAACAGCTGTTCAAAAAAGAATAACAACATTAACACGTCATTATGAAGCACAACAACTCAATGAAATGGAGTTTTTGCTAGCTATATTATTCGCCCTTAGTAAATCAAAGAATGGATGATACAGAACAATACGAAAATTGCCCTTTCTGTTTCTCTTTTTTGCTCATATTTTTGCTCAAAATAAATATTTGCGCAAAGCAATTTTGCTCATTTTCTAGTTGCTCAAAACAGATTTGCTCATCTTCCATTTTCTCAAAGTCCTTTTGCTTAACTAATTTTTGCTCAAAATATTTTTGCTCATTTTCTTTTGCTAAAAGTCGTTTTGCTCGAATTATTTTTGCTCATATTCGAGGTTACCAAAAAGAGCAGAGCAGAAGAAAAAAATCGTGTAACAGCGGTCCTTAGCTAAACTAATATGTGTACCCCTTCATACAATAACTGTGTTTGTAATAAAAAAGTTGTGTTATTCAAACTTCTCTTCAAATTTAACTTACTACACTTTTAAGACAATCTCCATTCTCATCCATAGAGGATCTCCGCATCATCTGTCAAGGCTTTCCTGAGTGGTAAGTGAAACTTCACTGAAAACCCGACAAAAATGAGTATAAACTTACACTCCTCTTAGTCTATCAGGTTTTCTTGGGGAGTTACACAAATACTTGTCAAGGTAAACTGTACAGAGTTTAAAAGTGAAACTCTTCCCTCGAAACAAAAGTTCTCTATTATGTCCGTTAGCACTCTTCAGCAAGCCTTACAGCATATCAGTTAAGTCACCGGCAGAGTCATAACGATGTAAAGAGTCCCCTTCGTCGAATCCACTTCCTTGTCCGCAATCGTATACCAGCGTAAGCTTCATTACCTATGCTCCATATATTAGCGTTTGTGAGACGGACGGAAAGGTAACGAAGTTGGAACGACAGAAAATGCGTTTAAAGGACCTTTTTTAACCACCGCCCTGGTGAAACTTCTTATATCCAAGATCTTGGAAAAAAATCCAAGAAGTCAGATCTAAGATTCTTGAATCTTTCAGTCTAGGCCCTGGAACACAAATTTCAAGATCTTTGTACAAGAAGACAAGAAATTACAAGATATTCAAGATCTTGACTTCTTGAAATTTCTTGAATTCTTATATTTCTTACCAAGATATTGAATCAAGATCTTAATAAAAAAAATTCAAAACGTCAAGATCTTGAGTGCAAGAAGTTTCATTCGGAGCCATTGCACATAAGCCACAACAAGCCAAGCTCAATGACTATTTCAGATTTTTTCTAAGCATCCTCATCTTGTAGAGCATGATCGAAAACCTATAAATCCGAATTTGTAGGCTTCTCGAACTTTTCCTTCTGTAGATATGAAATGTTTCCGACTGGAGTAAAGTTTGAAAAGTTATGCGCGTGAAAAACGTACATTTCGTTCTATTCTATATCCCGGCTGTCCATAACACTTTTTCACTGGAATATTTTGGTAACTTTCATCCCCCTTTGAAGCCATTTGTAAATCGACTACAGTTCGAGGAAAAAGCGTTATGGACAGACGGGATATAAGTTACTTTGCTCAGAATTCTGCACTCTATGAGGCTGTATGGTTTGCAAAATAGATTTTCTGACCAGCTCAGTTTTTAGAGAACTTCATGGGCTATCCAATGGTATTCTTTGAAAAATATATAGTTTTTCATTAAGACAGAAAAGTGAATGCTTATGCCGACCGTTTACTTCGACTTTGGTTGCAAAATTCTCTGTAACAAATTGGTTTATCCCAAACTTTTGACGGTGTTTCCAGACAGTACACTGAGAGTACTATCTATACAAGCAGTCCGACTTCAACGTAAGTTCATAATAACGAGATCGATCGCTCACAAAAGTGCTCTTTAACGCTCTGTTTCGGTCTTGCTGTAATGTATGGGGTAAGAGGTATACGTAATATTTGTAACTCATTATATGGTAGACACCAAGTACTACCTATCCTGAAAAAATCACGGTTTCATCTCTTCTCGTTCACGAGAAAAACGAAATGTACGTTTTTCACGCGCATAACTTCTCGAACTTTACTCCAGTCGAAAACATTTCATATCTACAGAACGAAAAGTTCGGGAAGCCTACAAATTTAGATCTGTAGGTTTTCGACCATGCTCTACAAGATGAGACTGCTTAGAAAAAATCTGAAATAGTCATTCAGCACGCTTCTGTGCGAAACAGTCGTCTTTCTCGTGCAATGACTCCTAGGGCGTTCCCTGATGCGCTTACGGCATTGATTGCTTGGGATATCAATTTGTGTGTTTGAAGAAGTAAAATCGAGAAAGTGGCTCGCTAGATAACTTTGACAGAAAATCGTGTTAGGTGAATTTGAGCTTACGAGGGAACATTCCCAAGTGATACGCTCCGTTTCGATTCATTCATATCTCATTCGATAGAGTATATTGAGGTAAGAAAAAGGCTAAAAGGATTTGTGCTCTTGACTCTTGA